TCTGTCTTCCATGGACACTGCACGACACGGGTGCACTTACCTACATGCAGGCAATACACGCATACACATAATATAAAAATAATAAAATGTTTTTTAAAAAACTCAACATTGAGCCGGGCGTGGTGGCGCACGCCTTTAATCCCAGCACTTGGGAGGCAGAAGCAGGCAGATCTCTGTGAGTTCAAGGCCAGCCTGGTCTACATAGTGAGTTCCAGGACAGCTGGGGCTACAGGGAGACCCAGAAGACCAAAAAAACAAAAAACAAAAACAACAAAAAAACCTGCAACGTTAGCTAGGTGTGGTGGTGCAAACCTTTAATTCCAGCACAAGGGAGGCAGAGGCAGGCAGATCTCTGTGAATTTAAGGCCATTCTGGTCTGCATAGTGAGTTGCGTAAATATTATTTGATTAATGTTGCATATAGCAATACCGTATATATACACATTATCTATTTTTTCTTGTTACTTTTTTGTCTAAACTTAAATCTCACATCAATAAATCTAATAATTTTCCTCATTCTAGTAATAATGACTTTAATTTTTTAGCTGTTACCGTTGGGTGGTACTGGGGATTGAACCTGGGCTAAGTTCTGAACCTGTGATTCTCTTGACTCAGTGTCAAAAGTAGCCAAATGACAGGCCTGTGCCACCAGGCCCAACTAAAAGGTCTAAATAGGTTTTTAAAAATTACATTTAAGGGGCTGTGAAGATGGTTCAGTGGTTAAGAGGGCCTGGGTTTGATTCCCAGCACCCACATGGTGGCTAACAACCATTTGTAACTTCAGTTCCAGGGGATCCAACGCTCTCTTCTGACCTCCATGGGCACTGCTCGACATTCCTGCACTTACATACTTGCAGGCAACACGCACATACACATAAAATAAAACAATAAATAAAATATTAGAAAAATAAAATATTTTTGGGGGCTGCAGAGATGGCTCATCTGTTAACAGCACTGACTGCTCCTGCAGAGGACCTGGGTTCGATTCCCAGCACCCACATGGTGGCTACAAACCATCCTTAACTCTGATTCCAGGGAAATCCAAAGCCCTCTTCTGACCTCCGCGGCACTGCATGACACGGGTGCACTTACATACATGCAGGCAATACATTTGTATTCATGAAATAAAAATAAAAATTTAAAAAATTTTAAATTACATTTAATTAATTAATTAATGAGTGTGTGTGCGCATGTGCCACGGTGCGTGTGTGGAGAGGTGAGATGACAGCTTGGTGTTGGTTCTCTCCACCTACCATGTAGGCCTTGGGGAATCAACTCAAGACTGTCAGGCTTGGCTATAAGAACTTTTACCACTGAGCCATCTTGTTGGCCCCCTAAATTTTTAAAAATCAGAATATACATTAAACAGGAAACAACTACTGTATGGTGAACAGTAGTATATAACTTCTGAATTAACATAAATCACTGTATTTCTCACTGCAAAGTAATACTGCGTTTCAACGGAGAAGTATAGCTTTTTTTTCAGAAGTATAACTTGTTTTTTAGACAGGGTCTCCCAGCTGGCCTGGAAGTCACTATGTAGACCAGGCTGGACTCCAACTCACAAAGGTCTGCCTGCCTCTGCCTCTTGAGTACTGGGTTCAAAGGCATGCACTACCATGCCCGGCTCGAAAACCATAGTTTTTATTTTTTTTAGAAGTATAACTTTTTTTAGCTAGAGTCTCACTATGTAGGCCTGGCTGGCCTGGAACTCACTATGTAGACCAGACTAGCTTTGAACTCATAAAGATCTGCTTCCCTCTGCCTCCCTGTGCTTGGATTAAAGGCCTGTGCCACCACACCAAGTGAGAAGCACAGCTTTAATCCAGCATTTAATTCATTTGCTCCTGAAATGCTAAAACCCAGTATTAGAAAATAGTTTCTCTTTAAAAGTCAGCTAATATTTATGAAATAATTTATTAAAGATAGGATTATCTTTTAAAGATCAGAAGGAGTGGTAGGAATGGTTCAGATTAGCAATAAAAGGATGTGGCAGTTAATATCAGTAAGACAGGATCCTAGACAGAGGTGAGGGCAGGTTTGGGAGGAAGGGTTCATAAAGGGTATTTTGGGATAATGGGAGAGACCTAATTCAGGACTGTAAATTCTATTATGCCAGTAAGTCACTGCCAGCAAAGTTCTTCTTAGGAAATGCAAACTCAAGTATTACGAGTAAACCATGAGGTCTGCAGCCTGCTTAGAGATGACTGGACAAAAACTGTATTGTGTGTATGATTTTTTGTTTGTTTGTTTTTGTTTTGGTCTTTTTGAGACAGGGTCTCCCTGTAGCCCCTCTGGCCTGGAACTCACTATGTAGACCAGGGTGGCTTTGAACTCACAGAGATGCGCATGCCTCTGCCTCTCAAGTGCTGGGATTAAAGGCATGCACCACCACACCCAATTTATATTGTGTTTAAGGATGGAGAGATATATATAAAATGAGCATCATAAAGATTAGTAAGATGAATCTATGTGTTGACCGCATAGATCTTTCAAGGTTTCAAAAACTACTTAATTTTTGGCAAGGCAGCGCACGCCTTTGATCCCAGCACTCAGGAGGCAGAGGCGGGTGGATCTCTGTGAGTGCGAGGCTAGCCTGGTCTACATAGTGAGTTCCAGGCCAGAGAAGCTACAAGGAGACCCTGTCTCAAAAAAATAAATAAATAAATAAAAGAGTGTGTGCTGCTCTTCCAGGGGGCCTGAGCTTGTTTCCCAGCACCGCATCAGGTGATTCATGGCCCCTGTTCTCAGTTCCAGGGGTGCCAATGCCCTCTTCTGGACCCCTGGACACTTGTACTCATGTGTACATAGCCACACACAGATACACATGGTACCCATAAATTTAAAAACAACAAATTTTACTAATAAACATTTTAAACTCCGCTCTAAAATATAGAAGAGGCAGAAAGATTCACATTTTATTAAAATGTTGCTTTTAGGGAAGGCAACCATAAATTAGTTTAGCACTAAATCTAATTTCTGTTTTAAAATTTAACATTTATTCTTATTTACCTATTTACCTATTTATTTATTTATTTATTTATTTATTTATTTATTTATTTATTTATTTATTTATTTATTTATTTATTGTGAACGTTTGGGTACGATGGGGCCTGTGTACAGATCAGAGAACAACTTATGGAAGTTGAGTCTCTCCTACCATGTTTGTTCCGAGGAATCAAACTCAGGTTATCAGGCTTGGCAGCAGATGCCTTTTCCTGCTGAGTCACCTGCTGGCCCCGAAGTCCAAAGTCATCTAGCTGCTTTGAATGAACTTGCTTCAGGCCAATGCACACAGTTCATGAAAACACAGACTGCTGGGCTTTAATTCCTAGATTCTAGTTTAGCAGGTCTGGGGTGGGAACTAATCATCTGCATTTCTAACAAGTTCCCATATGAGGTGGATGATGCTAGTTTAAGTGTCTTGCTTTGAGAATCATCATTCTAAGCCACTACTAGCACTAGATAAAATGACATTTTTTTGCAACAAATTTAAAACATATTATCCATTACCTTTTTAAACGTCACTTCAAATTCAATACTGAAGCAGTTACTCAAGCAGAAAACAAAGCTGATCAAAGGAATTACCTGCTGTCAGGCCCCTGCCGTCCTTGGCCAGTGTTACCACGTGCTCCGAGACTTCAGCTGCTTCTCTCTGTACAAGCTGACGTAAACAAGCCAGAACTGCCCTTCTCAGCAACAAGTAGGAGCTACAAAGACTCACCTGAAAGACCCCATTTGAGAACAAACGCTGAAATTCTCGGTGGCACTCAGTACGTCTGATAGATACTCAATGAACTTTCTCTTGATTCTACTTGGCCCATCAGTGGGCTGGAGACAATTTATCAAATACAATGAGACTTCTTCAAACTATTCCAGGATATACATATGATTTTATAACTAGAAACACCTACAGCGATAAAACATGTACTAAATTATTTCATATCTGTATACACAGCCAAGCAAAAGTTTTGACATTGTTAGAAGACAAAGAATTTCAGTAAAAATAGCTTTGAGAGACAAAGGAAACACAATGAAAAGGCCTTATACATACATTTGTGCTCATGCAATTAGACTTTATGATTCTCTAAGAAATGAATAAAAACACAGTAATTTAGGCAAGATGGCATACTTGTTAAATCGGAGGCCCTGGAGTTTTAAAAGGTCTCAGTTTGCATCCTTGATCTACTATTTACTAACTGTGTGATCTTGGGCAAGTAATTTAACCTCTCTGTACCTGAGTTTCTTATTTGTAACATTATCCCACCCCACAGGACTCTTGTGAAGTTAACACAAAGTAACATGCAAAGTGCTTACCACAAACCCAGGCAAACAGTAATGCTCAAAAAATTGTTAGTTATTATCAGTGTAGTCCCTAATAATAATATCTTGGTTAGACGATATCAGAAGAAGAAAGGTACTTTCAAATAAAATAATTTTACCTAGAAAACATTCACCAGAAACATTCTTTAGCAACATTAAAGAGTGACTTTTATGTATGTGTCTATACATGTATCATAGAGCTACAATGTAAATCACATAGGTTTGGCAGGAGGCTTATTTGCAGCAAATGATAAGCCTGATGATATACTTCAAATGATCAATTACAAGCCAGAAGTTTCTGGACACAAATTTCTTAATTCTTTAAGTATCTTGCTAGGTAGCCTAAGCTGGCCTTGAACACACACTGCCTCCTGATCATAGGCATGTACTACCATGTCCAGCTCTGGGATACAAATTCTTACTCAATGGTCTCATAAGTGATACAAAACTTAGAGGTGTAAATGCATTTTCTTTTAACTAGAAGAGTAAAGACCAATTTGGTATGATTTTTTTTTTTAAATTGAAATGTCTTTTTTTTTCTTTTGGTGCGGGGGATTGACCCTAAGGCCTCACACATGTTAAGTGCCTGTTTTCTACTGAGCGTCACCTAAGCCCAAGATGCACTATCCTAGTGTCCTATCAAAGAAAAACTTGAGAACTAATAGTGTTAACTGTGATAGAAATCTTATGATGATTTGGCACATGTGGGAAAACCATGGCTGAAGTGGGTGAATTTGTTGTAGAGAACAGAAGCTAAATTCTGAGATAAAAAAAGACAGGCAATAGCAGATGCTGTTCAATGTGTAAGAAGAAACACATGCAAAGAAAGTCAAATCTTATAAGCCATAATATTAGCTCAGTCATCAGTGAAACACAGGGATGGGATCTGCTGTATGTTTGATTAGATGCCCAAGTTACACACTCAGAAGTGGGTGGAGAAGAATGCCATTCACAGTCCACAGGGAAATGTCACCACAGTCATGTATAGGGACTTTCATTGTTAGAAACTAGTACACAGACTAACAGAGAAGTTAGAGCAGAAAAGGAGGAAGTCTCCTTGTGCTCAGATTGCTGCTACAGTTAGTTAACAATGGTTCAAAACGGCATTCTACACGACAGTTTAAAAGAAAGATGAGTGGATCAATTAGCTCTTTTAATTGTTTATAGTTTAACTGTTATACTTTTGTTAATAGTTTTTATAAGCATGTATCACAGGGCAGGTGCAGCATTTACTCAGGCTGGTCAAACAATCTTTAAAAAAGCATGCTTAGAGGAACTCTTCAATGTTTGGTTAAAAAAAAAAAAAAAAAGAGGTTGGGAGCTGTCACAAAAAGCAAGATGGGGGATTAACACCTCCAAGTCGTTCCCCAGCATGCCAACCGGGAAGGCAAACACACAGCAGGCAAAACAAATCAAACCGTAAGTGCATTCTGTTCTGAAATGAAGACAGTAAACCAAAATGGTGCAAACCTGCGTGCGGGGAGTGAGTGCACCAGTGGGGACATGAGGATGGATGTGTTTATGCCACTATTAAATAAACAGCACGCAACATGCGGTACATACTCCACTTTGCATTATGGTTAGCTTAAACATAGAGATGCAGAGGAAAACATCTACAACCAAAAGGACACAAAGAAACAGCACTGCAAACCTCGAAAAGCTAGGAATCAAGGGTCAGGGACCTACCAACACAGAATTATCCAACAAGATCTCCTGCACAGAAACAAATGACAGACTGGTCATGACAAAACCACGGAAAAATACTAGGATGATTATGACAACAGTCAGCTAAGCATTCAGATACAGATGCTGAGTTATCATCCAAATTGGCTTAGCTTCAGTCTAAAAATGTGGCACAAATATTTTATTTTCCAACTTGATAAAATAGGAGTTGAGCTAAGATCCTGCAAACAGACAGCTCAAGAACTCTCGGACGTAAAAACAGAAAATACACAAGAACATAAAAATGTACATCTGAATAAGCAGGCTTTCTCTGGGAATCTCTGATTAAGCCTCAGAATCAAACCCAGATCACGTATAATGTCTGTGGCAAGAGCGATCTGGATTGTGTTTACATTAAGCAGGTGTCCAGCAAGAGGGAAAGTTAACAGTTTACCTCATCACAAGTTAATTACAGACTTTTTTTTGGGGGGGGGTCTTTTTGAGACAGGGTCTCCCTATAGCCCCTAGTCTTGAACTCACAGAGATCTGCCTGCCTCTGCCTCTGCCTCTGCCACCCAAGTGCTGGGATTAAGAGTGTGTGCCACCAAGCCCGGCTTAGACTTTGTTTTTTTAGCAGGTGGGAGCCAGGTTTTCAAACTGGGAGTACTCAAAACTGCTAATGTAGCTAAAACCAAGTTCAGAATGGAGGTTGGCATGCAGTTAAAGGGGCCTCACTGTACGATTCTGTCCTAATTGTGAAACACAATTGCCTTGAGAAAATGCTGTAAAATATAGTAAACTCAATCTAATAAACTTAGAATAAAGTGCTAACCAGATTATTAAGAAACTTTTATGTAATGTAATGAAAACCATTTAAAATATGATTTCTATATAAGAAAAAAATCGGTTTGTAGCTAGATATGAGTGACATGTGTAAGAGTCGTAACTATCACTGCAGGCTTTTCTCAACTGCTCAAAGAGAACTGTTTCAAAGAAAAATCTCACAATGCAATAGTCTCTTTTAAAAATATTACCCCCTCCCACCTTTTTTTTTGTATGAGAGAGGAAAAAGAGAGTAAGCCTGACCAGATCTTACTCACCATGGTTGATATTAGTCTTACTCTTTCTCAGTAAATTTTGTAAGTGAATTCATGTATCAGTTAAGGAGAAGTTTAAAGATTATTCATTAATGAAAACTACAATTTTTTTGGGGGGGGTCTTGAGACAGGTCTCCCTGTAGCCCCAGCTGGCCTGGAACTCACTATGTAGACTAGGCTGGCCTTGAACTCACAGGGATCCGCCTGCCTCTGCCTCCCGAGTGCTGGGATTAAAGGCGTGAGCCACCACGCCTGGCTGAAAATTACAATTTTAAGAAGAAAAAATGGTAACATTTACTGGATTTCAATGGAGAGTAAGAGATCAATTGGCAACAGAATGGAATGTTTTTCAACAACTGAGTTTGTCAACAATTTTTCAAATGTAAAAATTAATAACGTGCAGGTAAAATGGTGAGTGAAGGTCAAAATCTCTTCCCTGTGTTATTTTCCTTAACACAAGATTAACCGATATCTAAATAATAAAGCAACAAAAATGTGTCAGAAAACTTAGCCACATCTTCTTTCCAAAGTTTTATATACCTACGAGTATCAATAATTAATGCAGTATAAGACATGTTAACTATCATGTTTAATGTTCTTTTAATGCATGGTACATGTTCCATTACATGCAGCATCTGTGTAATCCTCATGTTTAACAAATAAAGTAGTTGAGGCTGGAAGAGGGTACAGGACCTCCCATATCGCTAGGAGGTGGCAGAGGGGATGATCCGGCTGTACAATTACAAGGGCAGTGACAGGAAATGGTGAACTTGGACAAGGAGTCCAGAAGACAGCAACTGAGAGTGAGTCACCGCTGCTGTCAGCGAGCTATGTGATGCTCTGATCCTCAGACTATATTTTAAATATTTTAGTTATTATTTATTTTTTGTGTATGCGTATATTGCCTGCACGTGTAAGTGCACCTGTGTTTCTGAAAGAAAAAGCCAGAAGCTTTTAATAACTGCCCATGGAGGTCAGAAGAGGGTGTTGGATCCCCCTGGAACTGGAATTGCAGCCGGTTGCTGGTGCTCACATAGGTACTGGGAGTTGAACCCAGGTCCTCTGGAAGAACAGCAACTGTTTATAACCATTAAGACTTTACCGAGCCTTCTTTCCAGCCCTCAGACTGTCTTTTAAAGGTATGTTTTAATGATAATCTGACACATTTTTAGGCGTTTCTTTCAGGTTCTGAAATGCTACATATTTTGCCCCAAGCTTGAAAATCAAAGGACTGTATAGCAGTCGTATTCAACATTTTACAACCTGCAAATAACACTGTAAGTTTATGACTTTTGTGTGGGGTCATACTTGCAGTTATCCTGGGACTCAATGTTTGAGACAAGTCCAGATCTAGAAATTGGTCATGCGGAAGGAAAACCTTAGAAGCAAAGATGATTATGAAGCATCTCCTATTATAAGGACCCAGATACTGATGTATATACTGCTAAGGGGTTAAGGAAAAGTATTTCAATCCCTCTGCCCCGCGTGTGTGTGTGAGGGGGGGGGCTTCCAGTGTCCTGTTCTGACACGCTCTTATTCCCTTGAGACAGTGTCTCTCACTGAACCTGGAGCATGACCCTTCAGCTACACTGCCTGGCCGCTGAGTTCCAGGGATTCACTTGTCTCCACTCCTTCGTTATAGGCATGCAGGACCAGCGAAGCTTTTATGTGGGTCTAGGGAGCTGAACTCAGGTCATCGTGCTTTCCTAACAAGTGTTCCTACCCACTAAGCCATCCCCCAGTTTCTCTATCTGTGACATAATTTTAATGTAATAATTTAGAAAGAAAGGCAGGGACCACATAAATATTTGTAGGTTCTACAGCACTTATATAATACGTGGCACATTATAAGCACCCAATGTTTACAGATCAATGAATAAAGATTTACATTCAATACTAACGGGAGAAAAATGAATCCATACATGAGAGGTTTAGAGGTAGACATAAGAAAGTGGCCCACTTCCAAAACACCCCCCCCACCAGTAATGTACATGGCATAGTGTTTTCATAGTCTAGAAAATAATTAAATTAGAATAAATCCAAGTTTCAGATCTAAGAAACTAAGAACACATATGTAAGTTCATACTCACGCAAAGGCAGCTGACTAGGTTAGACAAGTTGACGTGTCGTGGAGCAAACATGTGAAGCTGCTGAAGACAGGAAATAGCCTGTGCCTGAACAAGGCAGTCTGGGTTATCCTGCATCACCGCACATCCCAACAGACAGGAAGTCCTTAAAGTGGACACCAAAGCACTGTTACCTGAAAGAAAAAGCCAGAAGCTTTTAATAATTGCTTTAGCAGGATGGTCCATTGGTTAAGAGTGCTAGCAGCTCCCACAAAGGTCTTGGTTTGCTTCCCAATACTCATATGGCAGCTAACAACTGTCCGTAACTTCACTTCCAAGGGGTCCAATGCCCTCTTCTGGCCTCTGTGGGCACTATATGCATGTGATATACCTACATACATGCAGGCAAAAGACCCAAATGCATAAAATAAAAATAATTTAAAAAATAATTGGCCTAGCCAGGCATGGTGGCACACACCTTTAATCCCAGCACTCAGGAGGCACGGGCAGGTGGATCTCTGTGAGTTCAAGGCCAGCCTGGTCCACATAGTGAGTTCCAGGTCAGCTGGTGCTACAGGGAGACCCTGTCTCAGAAAGACCAAAAAGGAAAAAAATTGCCCTATAAAATCATTAGTCTTTAAACATGTGCTAGGTGTTAAAATTCTTTAAAATTGCTCCATGGATCTGTGAAGTAAGCTTTCTACCACAAAAGCAGGGACATGAGCTGGAAGCATAGTTCAGTGGCAAAGCATATGCTTATCCTGTGTGAGGCCCTTGTGCACACACATAACAGAGGAAAGATAAACAAGGTGACCAAAGTGATAGGACAGTTTATTCCTAAGATTTTATTCTTAAGATTTTAAAATTAGGCCAGGTGTGGTGGCTCATGCCTTTAATCCCAGCACTCGGGAGGCAGAGGCAGGCAGATCTCTGCGAGTTCAAGGCCAGGCTGCTCTACATAGTGAGTTCCAGGCCAGCTGGGGCTATAGGGAGACCCTGCCTCATATATATATTTAAAATTTTGTGTGTATGTACGTGAGTAGGTGTGAGTGCAATGGAGCATGTGTGAAGGGCAGAGACAATTTGTGAGAACTGGTTTTCTCCTTCCACCACGTATTTCCTAGGGATCAAACTCAGTTTGTCAGCTTTTTACAAGGTCCTTTACCTGCTGAGCCATCTTGCCAGCACAATTAGCTTGTTCTAATTGCTTCTTATAACATAAACCATTCGGCAAAACAAGAAGAATCAAAGGCTATTTACATGTTTTTCCAAATTGTCATGAAAAGCAGAATTAGAAATTGTCAGTAAACTTAGTTCTGTGGGTATTAGTTGAGAGTCACTTTCATGTATTAGAATCATATGCTATGTAATCTGAAGAAATTTGAAATTTTGGACCCATTATTTCTTGGAGATCAGAGTTCCTCACGGCCACTCTACTTTGTGTCAGTCACTTTCGTTATTTAGGGAAGCATCTTTAGGACACAGCCTATCTTTCAAAATATGGTGCCCATGTCTTTCAATGTAAGAGATGCCAGGCTAAATGAACTGAAATATTCCTTTAACAAAACATATTGAACACCTACTGTACGCCAAGTATAACGACTAAGCAGCACATTTATGAGCATATTTTCAAGGTAAAACATCACAAAAGCAGCCTATGCATACCTTGTAGCTCTGGGCCTAGTGTTGTGATAAGGGCATTCAAGCAGCGACCAAGACTCTGGTGCACTTCGGCATGAGTTGGAGGCACATTCAACAACAGCATGATGATGAGTGACAGGGTGGGCTCCACGTGCACGTTATACAGTGTACCAGCAGAGTCGATGATCAGTGACAGAGAATGGAGCGCCCAGGTCTGAAGACAGGGAAAGAGTGCTGTATGTTACAAAAAGTGAGTCACTCCCATGTTTTTTTGTTGAAGCAAATTAAAAATCAGCAAATTCAGGAATGTATGCTCTATTACTAATATGGAAGGAGAACAAGTGAGCCTTATGAGTTCAAGAAAATTCCTATCTGCAAATACCCAGTATTGGGCCAGGCGTGGTGGCGCACACCTTTAATCCCAGCAGAGGCAGGCAGATCTCCGTGAGTTCAAGGCCAGCCTGGTCTACATAGTGAGCTCCAGGACAGCTGGGGCTACAGGGAGACCCTGTCTCAAAAAGAAAAAAAAAATACCCAGTATCATAAAGCCAACTTAGAGATAATCATCAAATTCAGAATGCTATATTTAGACATAGCTCAGCAGTGCTTGCTACTGTAGCTAACAGCTTAAATCAAATCTAGTTTGTTACAAGCTCTTTACTGTTAATATAAATAATAAAAATGAAAGATTTTAAAGTTTTTTAAATGATCAACAAATTCTACGACTATGTGCAACAATATGGGCAAATCTCTTGAACTTAATGTTGAATGAAGAAGAGTACTCCCTGTATAATTTCATTGTATAGCATATAAAGGGCAGTGAACCTAATTAATACTGTCTCAACAGAGGGGCATGTGGTCAGCTACAAGACAGCACAGCAGAGTGTCCATGGCCCTGCAATGGGTGGCTTCCTCATCAGGTGCTTGACATGCAGGCTCTTTAGTCTACCTCTCTATTCATAACAGGTGTGGTAATTTTTATATATAGACGTGCATACTGTGGTTTAAAGAAAACAAAACTGGCCCTATCCAGATAACCACTGATGCTGAATTATAAGCAAAACAGGTGCATCACAGCATCCTTTCTACTTTTGTGAACCTTAGAATGCTCCATTAGAAGAAGCAAACAAGAAGTGTTTCCTTTAGAAGTAAACCCAAAGATTTTTTGCTGTTGTTTTTTGAGATAGGGTCTCCCTATACCCCCAGCTGGCCTGAAATTCACATGTAGACCAGGCTGGCCCTGATCCCAGAGATCAGCCTGCCTCTGTTTCCTGAGTGCTGGGATTAAAGGTATGCACCAACTTGTCATTCTGAACCAGAACATTTTTTACCCCTCCTATCAATGGATATATATTTCTTATAAAATTTTAAATACTACAAAAAAAAAAAAAAAGAGTTCCTGTCTTTAGGAGAGAGAGCAGTCAAGACTCGGCTTCTTTTATGTGTTCCTGAGATGCACTGATTTCACATTCACAACCCCAAGATGACCCAAATTTGATGACAATGAATCTATAAAAAAAAAAAAGCATTTAGAATAAGCTACAAAAAGACATTCAACATAAAACTGTGTACGTTAGAACACACTTCTTAAATGGGGAGGATTCTAACAGCCAGAAACATGTAATGTCATTTTAAATTTTGCTATAATGCTAGGCACTGCATTCAGAGGTCACGAGTGGAAGGGAAGCACTCCGGAAGGAGCTGGGTCTCTGCCCCTCTTCTTTCCGTTCCTTTTCTTTTTTAAAATATCTTTAGAAAATTTGTTTTGATGAGTTGATTTTTATTTCATGTGTATCTTACACCTGCATGTGTATAAGAGCACCTGTGTCATGCTGTGCCCATGGAGGTCAGAAGAGGGCGTTGGATCCCCTGTAACTGGAGTTACAGATGGTTGTTACCCGCCATGTGGGTGCTGGGATTCCAGCCTGGGTCTTCTGCAAAAATAGCCAGTGCTCTTCACCACTGAGCCATCTCTCCAGTCCCTTTTTTTCTTCCTTGAGATGGGCTCACACTAAGTTGCTAGGTTGGCCTTGAACTCACTTTGTAGGTCAGACAAACCTACAAATTCACAGTCCTTCTGCCTAGCCTCTTGAATAGCTGCCATCAAGCCTGGCTGCTTGTGCTTTTTTGTGTTTTGGGGGACAGAAACCTGATGCCAAGGTGTCCCCAGACTTGATTAGCCCAGGCTGGCCTGTAATTTATTATCTTTCATTCACTCCTGAGTGAGATTATAGGTGCAAAACACCTGGCAGAGTGCTGTGGTACACACCTTTAATCCTAGCACTTTGGAGGCAGAGGCCAGCCTGTTCTACATAGAAAGCTCTGGGCCAGCTCGGGTTACAAGGAGACCCTGTCTCAGAAAACCAAGCCAAACCAATAGAACAAAGATGAACAAAGGCCTGGGTGCGGCAGGGCACACCTGTGGCGCTAGCCCTGGGGAGGAGGAGGCAGGAGGGGTCCTGGGGAGTTCAAGGCCAGGCTGGATTACATAGATGAGTGGGAAATGTAAAGCTTTCCAAGTCAGTTAGTTAAGCCAGAGAGGTGGAGGACTCTATAAACAACTAGGTAATCCAGAGCAAGACCTTCAGTACAGTATGATGTGAAAATCTGAGATAAACTGGCTCTCCCACCCCTCCTGAGGGTCTATGGGGAGGTAATGTTTGCTGAGGAAGGGAGCGATTATCTTCACCACTGGTAAGGGGCTCATGCTTCCGTAAATAATCTCTCTCCCATGCTCCTGTAAGCAATCCTAATGAAATTCACTGGGTGCCCCCACCCCCAAGAGGGAAATATAAATGAAATATATTTAAATATGGGCTGGAAAGATGGCTCAGCAATTAAGAGCACTGGCTGCTCTTGCAGAGGTCCCAGGTTTGATTCCCAACACCCACATGGTAGCTAGCCACCATCCTAAATCCAGTTCCAAGGGATCCAACTCAGGCATTTCACAACATGGGTGTACTTACACACATTCAGGCAATACACTCATACACATAAAATAAAAATAATAAAATATTTAAAAAAGAGAAAAGGAGGACTAGTTGGGAAGAGGAAGGAGATTAGTGGGAGAGGGAAAAGACGTGATAAAGGGGGTGGACATGGATGATCAATACTTTCTATACAGGTATGAAGATGTTACAATGAAGCCCATTATGATGTATAATTAAAAACCCTAAAAGGTGTGGACTATTGGATAAGGAGACTGGGAGGAACAAAAGGAAAAACCTCAAATGCAGATGAGAATGATGTGTGGACGTGAGGGAGACTGGCCATCCTTGGAAGCTGGTATTTGCAGAAAGGAACAGAGAAGGGTTTTGAGTTAGTTGAGGAGTGGCTTAAGGAAGCAGTTAAGGGGGGCACAGTGGTGCAGAGAATCATGGTTTGATGTCAGCCTGGGCTACACAGAGTGACACCATCTCAAAACAAGACAAAGTGAGACAAAAAATGCCAGAGTGGTGGCACCTGTAATAGTGATGCAGGGGCTCAAGGAGGGGGACCCCGAGTTTTATGCTTGCCTGGACAACACAGCAATTTCAAGGCCAGCCTGGGGAACTTGGTGAGACTCTATCTAGAAATAAAAGGGGACTGGTGATATAATTCAACGGTAGAGTGCTTAAAAAAAAAGCAATAAGCATGTTTCCCAGATTTTCAGTAAATAAGTGACAAAATGAAAGGTTTTAGACAAATTTGGTCTTGTATCTAGAAAGGACTAGAAAGAAAATAAAGAATTTAAAAATAATAAGGCTCATTAGGAGACTACTATAAGTAATCAGGGACATTCATACAAGCGGAGAGACAGAAGTAAAAGAACAGGAGAACACTTGGAAGGATGAGACAGTGTAGTGTGATCATGAGCTGAGGTCAAGGCCATGTGGTGAAACCCCACTGGAAACAAAATAATAGAAAAACCTAAGGGCAGGTGGGCGTGGTGGGCACGCCTTTAATCTCAGCACTCGGGAGGCAGAGGCAGAAGCAGAAGGATCTCTGTGAGTTCAAGGCCAGCCTGGTCTACAGAGAGAGTTCCAGGACATCTGGGGCTACAGAAGGCCCTGTCTCAAAAAGACCCTTCCCCCCCAAAATCCCAAAAAACCGAAAAAACAAAAACTTCAGGGCATCTGTAAGGATGACTGTCACAAGAGGTGAACATAATCTAGATTGAAGACCTTTACTAACCTAGCAACTAAAAAGCTGCTGTTTATAATGCAAACAAGTCCACTGAGCCAGGTGCCTTTCTTGCAACCTGGGCACATGACTTTAATCCCTCAGGAACCCTCCTTATTGTCCACTCAAGACAATGAATGAATGCATGCATGCTTCACATATCAAGGCATTGAAAGCACCATAATATTCTAGGCCCAGGGACCAATGGGCAAGATTCTCTGAGAGGATAAGTGTGGTCCTGACTTCTGCCTCCCCACTTCATGATGGAGGTACTGTTTCAAGAAAGAACAAGCAAAGCCCTTGCTGGGGAGCACAGTTCCAAGAGGCATCTGAAGGCACAGGTGGCAGTTGAGGTCTGCTCTTGGCTTTTAAATGAATGCTAAGAATCAGGCTGTAAAAATATGGTACAATGCTTAAAAACATGGGTTTTCAGTCCATAATCCATGTTTTGATCTCATTCCATGATATAGTAGCTTTTCAGCCATGAGACAGTACTTAGCTTCTAGAAGCCTCAGATTTTCCCTCTAGAGGACTACATACTCTAAACTGCCATGAACTGAATGTGCTAATATGTTTGGCAGGACAAAGAAAACACCTGGTAACTACTCAGCTCAGAAGCTATTAGTCCAATGAAAGGGAGATCCATTTTTCAGAACAGAGAAACAGATTTGACTTCAGATACTCCAGTGTGAGTGGGAGATAGATAGGACTTTTCCAAATGTATCAAAGTTAACAATAGCTCTGACACTTAACATGGGGGAACATTCTTTAGTAAAACCAGAATCTGCATCATGGACAAATCATGAATTTCCAGGGAGGTATCATGTGAGGTACTCACCTGCACATCAGGAGAGGTGCTGTCCTGAGACAAAGCATAAAGAATTCCAATGCAAGAACTCAAGTGCTGAGAAGAACTGACTCCTCCCAGATACCTATGCAGGGACCCCAAAGCCAGCGAGTGGCCTGTTCTGGTAACCACGTCCCTTGCTGACTTCAACCTGTAATGATGGGAATAAAAATAAGAACTAGGACTGAAAAGACATCCCCCTTTCAAAACAATAATGCAGTAGGAGGCACTGAAGTGGCTCAGCATGTAAAGGACCTGCTGCCAAGCCCCAAGTCTGATGATTGGAGTTCAATCCCCAGGACCCACATGGTAGGAAAGAATACACCCCCCAAAATTGTCCTCTGAGCTCCACGCATGCGTGCTATAGCATGTGTGCACCCACACACATTCATGCACGTGTACACACATACAATAAATGTAAATTTAAAAAATTTTAATGCATGTAACTTGTTACACGCAAAACTTTACAGCTACAAAATCTAAAAATACAGTGTGAAGTAATAAACATTCTGAGATAAGCAGGAAGGTATCTTGTGAAGGTGAACATGTATTTTAAGAGAAAAGATCTTCCATGACCATTTCCAGTATCTTTCAGACATATACACACAGTGACATATACACTATATATGACATATACATGATATATGCATATACAATATACACTATATATGATATATATATGATACACATGTGTTCACACAGTTTATAAGTTAGGTGTTAACACTATTTTGTTAAGCTACATTTTAAAAACAAACATACACTGAGGCTGGGTGTGGTGGCACACGCCTTTAGTCCCAGAACTTGGGTGGCAGAGCCAGGCAGATCTCTGTGAGATTGAGGCCAGCCTGGTCTACATACTGAGTTCCAGGTCAGCAGGAGCTATAGAGAGACTCTGTCTCAAAAATCAAAACAAAATAAAATAAAGTAAAATTCAAAACATACTGAGCTATTTTAATTCCATAGTTTCAACTTAAGAACTTTGGTTCTAAAATTAAACCTAAGAGAAGTCATATTCATTGGAATCCCCACGCACTACCTGCTAGGTTAGGACTTGTAGGTTGTTTACTCTTCCTAGCAGCCCTGCAGCTCACAGGAGTTCATCCGTCCCTTTTACAGATGGGATTTTCAAAACGATGAGGGAAAGCGTTTCACATAAAGTAACTGTGAGTTATAGTAGAGTTGGGATTTGAACCAAGGCCAAAGTGCTAGCCATATTTCCATCAGAACTACTAATATAATCAATTTTGTTTGTAGAAACTCTTATAACCAAGGTCTGTGTAGCCCAGGCTGTTCTGGACCTCACAGTGATCCTCCTGGTTCTACTTCCTGAGTATTTGGGTTATGGGGTTTTCCCTCGACCTCAGGGTGCTCCCACTGCAAGTTCCTGGTATAAGCATGAACTTTTATTTGTAATTGTTTCATCTATTTTCACAGTACTTTCAAATTTATAATATTTTCTGTTAAACATTCTTAAACAAGTAGGGTAGTATTATTGACTTTCTATTCAGAATAGTTCAAGAAAACTGGCAGGAAGGATTTCTGTAACTGCCCAAAGTTACAGAACTAGTAAGAACGGCTTATGTTTCTGATCTGCAGCCTACAGCTTTCCCTTTTCCTTTCACTAAAGTCTTTACACTAGAGGCCATTTATTGTCAGTCAGGCAGAACATTCACATAATAGCTTGTTCTTTAGGCCAAAAGGGCTCTTCTTTCAAGCACCCACATTGCCAATTTTTCTTTCTTTTTTAAAAAATATTTTGATTATTTGTATTTTATGTATATGAGTGTATTGCCTGCATGTAGGTAAGTGCACCCATGTCATGGAATGCCCACAGAACACAGAAGAGACTGTCGGATCCCCTGGAACTGGAGTTATGGACAGTTGTTAGTTGCCATGTGGGTGCTGGGATTTGAACCCGGGTCTTCTGCAAGAACAACCAGTGTTCCTAACCGCTGAGCCATCTCTCCAGCCCTCCAATTTTTCTTTTCTTAGTTGTATTGCAGAATGACGTTCTTACTGTTCTATTAAACAATGACTGATACCAAGTTTTGACAACATCCCATGAAGATTAATAATTCGCTTACTTGTCAAAACTAACTTGAGCCAATCCAGCAGTAAATGAGCCATCGTCAACCACCTGGGCTAACCTAGCCCACGCCTCTGCAGCTGCACATCTCAAAAGCCGGTCGGAACTTTCCAGGGCTCCCAACACTAATGTCAGGACAAGCCTTCTGACTTCCTCAGGACCTAGACTTCCTTTGGAGCCAGCCACATACTGAAGTGCACAAAGAAGAATTCAAATTTACAACTGCAGCGACTTTTCTTACCTGGTTTGGAATGTCTATTCTAGTCAAGTACATTCATACGTGAAAAAATTACAACACAGAAATCACTAATCATATAAACATAATGATGTTTTTTTTCAACAAAAAAACTTGAAAATTTTACTCCCAGACAAATGGTAGGGCAATCCGTTACCACTGTGGCATGTATGTGTTCAGAAGAGATATCCACTAAACGAATGACTAACGAACACTATTAGATTTATTGCAAACGTTAAGTCATTATAACTGCAGCAGTATACTGCACCGTTCACAGCCCAACAATGCCTGGCCTAGGATATCAGGGCCATGTGGCTAAGGCATGGCTCTAAGCCAAGATCAACTGCTGACAAGTTTTTCTATGGAGAAAAAAATAAAAGGACAATTCTAAATCCTGAGACATTTTCATCAAGGTATTATGAAAAATGAAGAAAATAAAGTTCTTTAGAAGCACCACTGTCTTACTTACTTAGCTACATACTATTGAATAAAAATTAAGCAATGGGGCAAGAGATGGCTCAGTGGTTAAGGGCACTGGCTGCTCTTACAGAAGACCTAGGTTTGATTCCCAATACCCACATGGTGGCTAAAGCCTGTGCATAACTCCAGTTCCAGGGGATCTGATGCCCTCTTCTGACCTCTACAGGCACTGCATGACATGGGTGCACTTACATACATGCAGGCAATATACTCATACACATAAATTAAAAATAATTTAATTTAAAAAATCCTAAATGTCCTTTGAAAAATAAACAAAAATAATGGAATATTGCT